TTCCGGTAAAAGTAGGTCTTAGACAGGGATGTGTAATGTCACTGTGGTTGTTTAACATATTAAGAGATGGGGTTGTAAAAGAAGTAAATGCTAGGGTGTTGGGGAGAGGGATGGGATTAAATTATGGGGAATCAAATACAAAATGCTAGTTGACACAGTTACTTTTGCTGATGATACTGTGCTTTTGAGAGATTCTAAAGAGAAGTTGCAAAGGTTAGTGGACGAGTTTGGGAGGGTGTGTAAAGGAAGAAAATTGAAAGTGAACATAGATAAGAGTAATGTGGTAAGAGTATCAGACAAGTTAGAAGTGAATGTGTTCAGATATTTGGGAGTAGACTTGTCAGTGGATGGGTTTATGAAGGATGAGGTAAACCATAGAACTGATGAAGGAAAAAAGGTGGGTGGTTCATTGAGGCATCTGTGGAGACAAGGAATGTTATCCATGGAGCAAAGAAGGGAATGTATGAGAGTACTGTATAGTGGTGTCAACACTTTTATAAGGGTGTGAAGCATGAGTTGTAAATGCTGCAGCAAGAAGGAGGCTGGAGGCAGTGGAAATGTCATGTCTAAAGACAATGTGTGGTGTAAATATGCAGAGAATTTTTAGTTTGGGAATTAGGAGGTAAAAAATAGAATAGACGAGGGAAAAAAGGTGAGTGGTGCACCGAGGAATCTGTGGAGACAAAGAACGTTATCCATGAAAGCAAAGAGAGGAATGTATGAGAGTATAGTTATACCAACGCTCTTGTATGGGTGTTAGGCATGAGTTGTGAATGTTGCAGCAAGGAGAAGGCTGGAGGCAGTGGAGATGTTATGTCTGAGGGCAGTGTGTGGTGTGAATATAATGCAGAGAATCCATAGTTTGGAGATTAGGAGGTGTGGGATTACCAAAACTATTATCCAGAGGGCTGAAGAGGGGTTGTTGAATGGAGACAAATGGTTTTTAGGACTTAACATGCTGTTGGAGTGTAAGCAAGGTAACATGAAGGGATTCAGGGAAACTGGCAGGCTGGACTTGATTCCCAGAGATGGGAAGTACAGTACCGGCACTCTGAAGGAGGGGTGTTAATTTTGCAATTTTATAAATGTAGTGTAAGCATGCCTCTGGCAAGACAGTGATGGAGTGAATGAAGATGAAAGTTTTTCTTTTTTGGGCCACCCTGCCTTGGTGGGAAACGGCCAATGTGTTAATAATAAATAAAAAAATTAGGAGTAGGTGTGGAGTTACTAAAAGTATTATTCAGAGGGCTGAGGAGGGTTTGTTGAAGTGGTTTTGTCATATAGAGAGGATGGAGCAAAATATGATGACTCGGAGGGTGTATAAATCTGTAGTGGAAAGGAGGAGGGGTATGGGTCATCCTAGGAAAGGATGGAGGGAAGGGGTAAAAGAGGTTTTGTGTGTAAGGCGCTTGGACATACAACAGGCATGTGTGAGCATGTTAGGAGTGAATGGAGACGAATGGTTTTTGGGACTTGACGAGTTATTGGAGTGTGAGCAGGGTAGCATTTTGTGAAGGGATTTAGAGAAACCAGTTAGCCAGACTTGAGTCCAGGAGATGGGAAGCACAATGCATACACTTTAAAGGAGTAGTTTGAGATATTTTCTGAACATCTGAACTGTCGTATCTGTGCACACCTCTGCAAAGACAGTGATTATGTGTGAATGATGGTGAAAATGTTTTTCTTTTTTGGGGCACCCTGCCTCAGTGGGAGACAACCAGCATGTCAAAAAAAAAAATTTATTTACACACACATGCACGCGCGCGTGTATGTACGTATGTACATATGTAAATAACCACATGCAATAAACCTGCTTTCATTATCTTCAACTTAAACTTTGTTCTTTCTCTTGCAGTTTAAATATTAAACTACTGTGTATGGTTTTATGAAGAATACAATACATTATTTTTTAGGATTCTTAAAATGTAATAAGAATACTAAAAAATAATGTTAATAATATTAATAGTTTAATTTAGTTATGTCATAGAGGAAAATTTTCTCGTAATGCTGGATTAATAAAAAAAAAATTATTTCAACGATATTTTTGTGTAGGATTTTTCACCATAGATTTCCTTATACTGTATACTGCTATTATGTATGTTATATTTTGAGACACTTTCAGCCACTATATCAAGTAGTGCCTGATCCTGAAGTATGAAAAATGCATTTCTGAACCATATCATCATAAACAATTAGGAACATGCTTACAGATATTCCTCTACTCACTTTTCAACATAACTAGTTAGGAATATCTTATACTTTTATAGCTCAGTCTGCCTCCTTCCACTTTCAGAATCAACCAGCCAGGCTGGCTACCAGTTGACCAGTGCAAAACAACTGACATTGAGAGGTGGCAGTGACTGTGGGTCATCAGGCCATTACACAGAAATGTTTTTTTCACACTTTAAAATCATGGAGCTCTGATGACCCACTACAAACTACCACTGGTACCCTGATCATAGTGGAAATTAAAGTGTCCTAACAAAGACAAAAAACAAATACCCTGAAAGCTGAGCACTTGCAACTGAAATACTAATAAGCTTGTCTGGTGAAGATGTGACTGCAGAGGCCTTTTCAGCAAAGCCCCACATATGCAAGCAGACCCCACATTTACAAGCAGGGACTTACCAAAGAAAATCTCCTGCTGGGCAGAAAGACCTGACCCAACTACTTGAACAACCAAACAGTTGGAAAGCAACCATGTAGTGGAATGTAAATGCTTCCTTATCATGACAGGTTCTAGAGATTAACCTGATTTGCTCTTTGTGAACAAACCACCCAATCATATAGGCATGGTACTCCTTATTCATACTGATAGGATATACTGTACTCTAATTTTAGGTGTTATTCCCAGATAGGAAACATGTTTGATCTTGGGTTGAGTTTTGGTCATGCCAGGTTGGATTTCCCTGTAACAAGAAACCAGAAAATCGGCCACTCTCTCATTAGAACACCCTATACAGGATACCCCAGGGACTAACTGGGATGAATGTGCCCAGGTCCAAGTGAAAGTTGATCTTTTCATCTGCATGCCTTCAGAGTAAGTTTTAGTGAAATAAAGCTGCTGCAACCAGTAAGCCTGGCATAGCCCTGGTGTTATGGGGACAGACTTTAGGAGGACTTATACCCTGACTGAAGTAATTTGAAAAGATAAGGTGGGACCTTTGTCAAAATCAGATGAAGTTTGCCTCAAGCATTTTTAGTCAAGTCATGCAAGAGCAAGTAGTTCCTGATTTCTCTTATAGGTTAAAGACCAGGGCCTCCACATAACTCCTGAAATATGAATTTTGGTAGATGATAGACATTCTACATTTGCCTGTTGCTGAGCATGAAAAAGTTTAGGCTTATGGTTGCCCTTAGGCCATCATCCTTAAACCTCTTGTGGCCCTCTGACCTTTGGAGCACAGATACAGTGTCTGAGTATCCAAGACAGATGTTAAAAAGAATGCTGTGGTATGAGTGAAAAATTCCTGGAAGTCAAACTAAGAATGAAATTGAATTGGAATAGACAAGAACCGTCCACCAAGGCCCAACAGAGACCATCTGAAGAGGCAGGGACTAGACTATGTCTTTGTTTGGTGAAAACTAGGACAATGCCCTTCTGATGCCCATGCTCCTCAGAGGGGATCTTATAACTTGTATTATGCACCCAGTCTTTCCTGTCTAAAAAAGTGGAATGTTGCTCTGAAGGGTTGGTAAATCACCAAGTCGGAATCCTGCATATGTTCTGGAAAAGTGAAAAATCCTTCTATCCCAAATACGTGTGAACAAACACTAAGGTATATTTATTAGAAAATGCTCATCATGGGATTTAGATCATGATTAGGAATGATCATAGTCTCCTCTGAGGACCAAAGTGTTTTCTAATAATGTTTCGGTCCTCAGACTGATCATTTCTAACAGTGATATAGGTCCCAGGACAAGCATTTTCTAATTGTCTTAGTGCTTGATGGCATGTTTGTTAAACCACTTGTTGGTATTAATTACCAAGGTTTATACCTTGGCAAATTCATATTGACTGTGTGGGATTATTTTTTATTTATTTATTATCACACTGGCCGATTCCCACCAAGGCAGGGTGGCCTGAAAAAGAAAAACTTTCACCATCATTCACTCCATCACTGTCTTGCCAGAAGGGTGCTTTATGCTACAGTTTTTAAACTGCAACATTAACATCCCTCAGATAAAAAATAGTGCAGAGAGAAGATTATCAGTATTATATTCACATAAGGTACTAAACCCACATGGATCATTCATCACTAGACATGGAAGCAGAGAACTCTGTGATGGTCATGCTGGAAGTGCTGAGGACAGGTGTTCCAGACCTATGGAGGGACTCAAAACTAAGGCCTATGACAGGAGCAGATGTTTCTGGAGGAGAAACCCATATCATGCTGTGATGAAATATCTGCGTGGGTTGAATCCCATAGGTCAAAGAAGATACAGTGGAAGAAGGACCAGATCATGCATAATGATCTTTCCTATAGTACTGATGCAGAGGGAAAAAGCCATTACAACCTGAACATTCTCAAAACGAGGACAGCACTTTGTTGCCCCACTAAGCTTTCCAGGAGTACAAAAACAGGGAAGATGACTATGTGATGTACCCCTCACTGGGAATGAATCAATTTCTTGGTGCTCCCCATCAGTCTCCAGGGCTCAGAAGACTTATCAGACTGAGTTTTCCCTTACATGACTTGGGAGCAGACAAAAGCTCTCACTAGAATGACTAGTATTCAGTCAATTAAATGAGAGAGAGGGGAGGAAAGGAAGGAGGCATTTGCTACTTAGGACTTCAGTATTTTTTGTTTTTAATGATGAGGTATACATTACATGTCACTTGGACTACCAAAAAACAATTGAACCATATTTTACTACTATAATACATTAGCATTCATTTAAGGAAATTTATTAGATTGAAGGTAATTTTATTTCAAATGTTTATTATTTATCTGGTTACTCTGAAAAACTAATATAGTTGTTAAATTTTTTTTCAACAGTACGAGCTCTAACCATGTTGACAAAGCAACCAAGTTCTTCCGATGATGACCTCTCACCAATGCAGCCACTTCCTCTCGTGCAGCAGCGGGAAAACTACCTCGTCTAGAAAACCAGGAAGGGTACTGTACCTAGGATACCTAAAAGCGCCTTTACTTTGGTCTCCTGAAAAACTACCTAGTCTAGTATTGTAAAAAAAGTACATAATGGTGGCATGACCAAGGAAGGAACTTGTTGAATAAATGTCACATTGGCTGGAATGACCACGTAATTGTTCCTCATGGTTAGGTGATAATTCATAAGAGCTCTTGCCAGAGGTCTCAGAAGAGCTAGTATTTCAGCTTCCTGTTTATGAAAGCTGGACAGTAGTAAATGTATGTAGTATGTTACCTAATGAGGATTGTATGGAATTTTATTTACTCTGTTGGAGAGTTGTGTTGACTGAAGTTTCTTATTTCTCAACAATCCTTAAAACATTATTTATTTTGAAAATGCATCTTATAATATGGGACGTTATGGTATCTGAATAAAATGAACCGAACCGAAACAACCAAAAGTTTGTGCTTCTGCTTCCACTTGTATACAAAATACAGTAACTTAATGAGTGTATACCTACGAAAAGTTTTAATGCACGTACTTATTTAAACTGGTGATCAAATTCTTAGTTTAATGTGAAAAAGTAAAATCAGTTTTGTTTATTAAGACCTTATTTATACATATAACGAACAAATGAAAAATTGTTTGACAAAGTATGAAGTGTTAATTTATGGCAAATATCAGTGCTGAATATATCTAAACTGAAAATGCTATCAGCATCTGTATTATCAGTGAATGCACAAGTTTCTGTGAATTGAAACACACACTGTATACATAAATCTGCCTTATGGAGCATAAAACTGAAATGTGCCAAGTGTGATAAGACTGATAATGGGTGGCTTCATTTACAAGAATGTGATAATATTCTGGACCTTCTTTGTCGGATTCTTCCAAGTGCTTGTACAGTATGTCATTCCTCTGTATAGTTTTTTAATATGATTATTGTGAACAGAGTGTAATATTCACATTTTTTTTTTAACTAATTCATTGCTCAGCTGTTCTTCCATGAGATATAATTTTTTTCTACTTTCCATTTTTTAAATAGCCCAGCTTCCTGTATGTCAATTTGCATTTGGTGCAGCCATTGCCAATTTCCAAGATAAAAGTGAAGCCATTTCCTGTCTCAGCATAAAAGAAAAAAAAGACTTTCCAAACTGTTGAGTGTGTTCATGTACTTGAGCTTCCAATATGGTATTGAAAGTTAGTTACAGTATCTCCAGTTTTATGGTGAATGTTGAGAATGTTACACTACCAATGAGCAATGCTAACTCAAGACCTACGAATCCAGTCTCGGTGCCACATTAACTGAAGCTGGTATGTCAGTCCCTTAGGGTTTCTATAGTACAGTATTGTTATTTCTTTTGTATGTAATATGTCTAGGTCTGGTTATATATTTTTGCTGTTAGAGAGACTGTCTAATGGTTGCTATTTTTCTATACGTGCCTGCATTCAATTGACAATTTTCACCCCTTAGAAAGCTCTTACCATTGTGGTATTAGCTTTATGTATAGGTACTCTGTGATTCCTCAATCCTTTGGACTGATAGCCAGCTGCAATATATATGAACTAAGTGTGTAAATAGTTTGGTATATTAGTATTAATTTTGATTTTTATTGGAATTAAATTTTTAATACTATATTTTGCCCCCAAAGTATTATGTTAATAAATGAAACATTTATTTTTATTTTTTACATAAATGCTTAGAATTAATTAATTTGTATGATGTCTTTTAAAGAAGGACATCATACAAATTAAGTTCATTTCAAACATATCTTAAGCAATAATATCAATACAGCATATGATCCTTTTCTTGAACATAATCATATTTCAGTATTGTTGTGGTGAGACTGCCAGAAAATAAGAAATCTTTGTTAAATATGTTAGGTTGATTTTTTATGCCTTCAATAATAGTGTAAGGAATGTCAGAAAGTCTATGCTGTTGGTTATACATAATAATGTATATTTTAACTGCTCTTAAACTTGTGTATTTTTTACAAAAGATGTTTACTGTATATTGCCAGTACTATTTTTTGGAACCTGTGCAAAAGATTGTATTGTGCAATAAATTCATTGCTCTAACCTCTGCCACTGTTTTTAACATACAGACTTTGTGAAAAGCTTTTAGCTGAGCCTTTATGGTTTTTAGAGTTGCAAATATTAATTTATTAAAAAAGTACAAGAGTATTTTAAAAGATTTTGGGCATTAGTGACCTACTTGGTTTTCTCTCTGTTCATCTATATTTCCTTATCCATGAACTCCTCCAAGGATGCAGCCATGACAATCAAGCCTACAGGAAATCCTGTTTAACTACAACCTAACCCCAGGGAAGCCATTCATCTTTGTAATCCTTCACTTTTGTCTTGATGTTGGTTATTTTCACCATTACTTTACCCAGCTTTCTGTATTTCTTCCACTTGATATCTTGCATGCACCTCTGTTACTTTTGAAGTTCACAGTGGCACAAAACTCATAGATCAGGGTTAGAAAGTGTATACCATCATGCATGAAGGTCTCTTGATACAAGGGATTGCAACTACTTTTTCACTCCATGGCTCAAACTTGACTGCTTAGTGTTCCTCAACACTGGGCACTGTATAATTACAGATTGGTTGTCTGATTTAACTCATTACAAGTACTATGGGCCTAGAAAACTTCTACCTGTGCTACTTTGTAATTTTGTCTTCACATCTATCATGTTTCTACCTTTCAGTGGTTCGTCGAAAAAAAAAAAAAAAGCTGTGGTAACCTTTCTGATAAAACAGAAGACCTAAACTGTTGTATCTGCACACCTCTGGCAAGACAGTGATAGTGTAAATGATGGTGAAAGTGATTCTTTTTTGGGTCACCATGCCTTGGTGGGAGATAGCCAGCATTTTAAAGTAAAATTTTTTTTTTATAGTCATTTAGGAGGTTTTGTGGGTGAGGGGCTTGGACTTCCAGCAAGCATGCATGAGTGTATTAGATAGGAGTGAATGGAGATGAATGGTTTTTGGGACCTGACAAGCTGTTGGAGTGTGAGCAGGGTAATATTTAGTGAAGGGATTCAGGAAACCGGTTATTTTTAAATAGCCGGACTTAAGTTCTGGAAATGGGAAGTACAATGCATGCACTTTAAAGGAAGGGTTTGGGATATTAGCAGTTTGGAGAGATGTGTAATAGGACAGTATATATAATTGGGGCCCTGATATTATATTCTATATGGAGTTTATTATATTATTTCAGGTCACTTTTTATATTGTACCTTTATGTATGCTTCTAAACTGTTGTATCTGGGCGCCTCTGCAAAAACAGTGATTTTGTATGAGTGAGGTGAAAGTGTTGAATGACGATGAAAGTATTTTTCGTTTTGGGGATTTTCTTTCTTTTTGGGTCACCCTGCCTAGGTGGGAGAGGGCCAACTTGTTGAAAAAAAAAATATATTAGCAAATGCAATATGATGTAGTAACAAATTTGCCATTGTAAACAGTTCAGTGGAACTCTTGGAATTTGAGCAAAATGATCAATAAATTTGCTGTAAAATTCTGACTTGCTCTGACAGAATAGCTATGCTTTACAATCTTTTTTGACCTTGAGAATTTGTAGATTAAGTTTAAATAAATTTAAATGGCCAGGAAAAACCTGTATATTGTGGTAGTAAGAAGCTTTCTCCAGCAGAGCATAATTATTCTCAACTTGATAAAGAAGGTCTAACTTTAGTGTTTGCTGTTAAGAAATTCATATATTTCTTATTAGGGAGAGAGTTTGTTGCTCGAACAGATCATAAACCATTGCTATGTTTATTTGGAAAAGGGAAACAGATTCCAGTAAATGCAAATGCCAGAATTTCAGCATTGGCAGATGCAGTAAGCGGATTACCTGTTGAAGATCATAGTTTAGAGTCAGGTACACCTATGGAATATGTAAGACTAGAGTCTGTGGATTTCCAAAATTTGTCTTTTGAAGACAAATTTTGTAAACCCCCCCACAACCCCCACCCATACCACTCGTTCTTATAAATCCCCACAGCTACATGCCTTCACCCATACCATGCCTCTAAACTCATTCCTGCTGCTTCCACACATATAATTTCCCCATGGCCTACACACCTTTACATACCATTCCAACCATCAACCTCCACCCACACAACTCCCCCACAGCCACATGCCTTCACCCACACCATCCCAACCAACAACTTACCTCCACACAATCTGCCCATACAATTCCCCCCCCATGGCCATATGCTCACACCTATACCATTCCCCCACAAGCACCATTCCCTCACAGCCAGCTATCCCCTATCTGTGACTTCACCCTACACACCTTACCTGACCTTTCACCCTAACATGCCATCCATGTACCTAATCACTTAGTTACCACGCTCATTACTACCAGTCATTACCACCCAGTCACCCATCATCCAATCAGCAGGCCACTGACAAGCACACCTTTCACACACACCAGGCCACTGACAAGCACACCTTCTACACACACACACCAGGCCACTGACAGGCACACTTTTCACCCACAGCTTCTAGCCCACATGGTCCCACACCTTACTCATGCTTTCACTCACCACAGTGTCATCAGCAAAAAGCAACTATAACAACTCCCACTGTATGTTAGATTCTTTATTTTTCAATCCAGTACCTCTTGCCAACACCTGAACATTCACTTTTTTTACAGCCCCATCTATAAATATGTTGAATAACCATGGTGACATCACACATTCCTGTCTGAGGCCTACTTTTACTGGGAAATAATTTCTCTCTATCCTACACACTATCCTCATAAAAACTCTTCACTGCTTTCAGTAACCTACCTCCTATTTCGTACATGTGCAACATCTGCCACATTGCCTTTCCCCTTATCTACCCTATCATACACCTTTTCCAAATCCACATCCAAGCTGAAGGTGTCCCCTAGGGGTGTGTTCTGAGCATTACACTTTTTCTCCTTGCTATTAATGATCTGGCCTCTATTCTTCCATCCAGTATTTGATCATCGCCCAGTGTTGATGACTTCGTTATAGCTTGTGCAGGCGCTGACTGTCACCTCATTGCAGTTTCTCTCCAGCATGTGTTCCACTGTGTTTCCAATTGGGCCACCACTTGTGGGTTTAAATTTTCTAGTACTAAAACTTACCAAATTACTTTCACTAGACGTTCTGTCGTCTCTGATCATCCATTGTATCTATATGGCTCGTGTATCCCAGAACGTGATACGGTCAGGTTTCTCAGCCTTCTGTTTGACCGTAGGTTATCCTGGAAACCTCACATTACCTCTCTGAAGGCAACTTGTCATAGCTGGATGAACATCCTTAAAAATAGTTAATATTATAACCATAATTTATTATTAACTCTCAACCATCTACTGCTTAGAATGTAGTTATATAACCATCTACTCCTTCAGTAATAATATAATGTCTTTATTTCTACAAGTACATGTACATGGTATACAGGCCTAGCTGACATCAATGACATACTGTACTGTACTACTAAATAGAAAACCACTTGTTATGCAGAGCATTTAGGGCAAATTAGGTCAGTTTTGTCCCAGGATGCGACCCACACCAGTTGACTAACACATGGACAACCAGTGTAAGGACACATGAACCATCTACTCCTTGGTAACTATATAACCATCAGCTGCTCAGTAGTAATATAATCATCAACCCCTCAGTAGTTATACAATTCAACAATCAAGAGCAAAAATTTAAGGTAGGGTAAAATTCTTGTTACTTTTTAAGCATACATATTTTGAAATGCTAACAGTGTGCATTAAATTTATAATTGTCACTGGTGATAACTCTTCGGTGCTCTGGATAGAGCTCCATATACATTTTCTTTTGAGGGAAGAGAGGCAGACTGCATCTAACATGAGCTTCTTTTTTTTTTTTAAGTGCTGAGTATCTAACCCTATTTTTTATGTACAGCAGTGCCTCTTCAAGGGGGGGGGGGGGCTTCTTGATGTGGCAAGGAGGCTCTTGGTCTCAGGAATCAAATCCTTTGGTCTCCATTAAACCGAGTCTAAATTCCCCCCAATCCTCCCTTCCCTATCCTATCCCATCCTTCCCATCCCCCCCTTTTTTTCCCCTTTCCTCCCCTCTCCCAACCCTTTCCTTGTTTCCCATCCCATCTGTTGCCTCTGGGGTCCTTCCCTTTGGCATTACAATTTCTAGGGTAGGGGGCGGTGTGCTGGGGTTCGTTCCACTCCATGGGGTCCCTCGGGGGAGGTGGTTTGCCATGGAATCTGAATTATCTGAAGGTGCCCTGCTCCCTTCCCGGATTTCCGGGAAGTGAGCGGGGTGCCCTTCGCGTAATGGGTATATCTCCGGAAGCTGCCTGTCGGTTCTGGGAGGTGGCAGCCAAAGGGGGGTGTGCTTTGTGGTGGGTTTCTGACTGCCCATTCTTTTGTCCACCAAGGTAGCTGGTAGATGTGAGGATTGTAATAAAGTTAGTAGAATTACCGACAATATGTAAAGTAAAAGGACACAAGTGCAACTAACGTGACATTTTTATTGTGGCAACGTTTCACTCTCCAGGAGCTTTATCAAGCCGTTACAAACAGTACATGGACACAGAGGGTATATATATAGGCTCAGAGTGAGGTGCAATACTAGTGGTGGTAGTAGTAGTAGTAGTAGTAATACAATATGTAGAACAATTAACTTGCACAAGAGTAAAAGGATATAAAAGCTATAACTTGGGTAACATAAAAATAGGTGAGACAAATATTTCTATTGGAGGCTGGATAGAGAAGGCCTGTTTCAATTTAATGTGTTATGTGTGTTATTAACAGGAGAGACTATGTGATGGCAGGGTTTACTGTTTTCAGGAGGATTCTTGCTAAGACTTCAGAGATGGTGAAGCTGCCTTTGTTTTGTTTAATTGTATTAGAAACAGCTATTAGTGAAGATTCAAGACACTTGCGTTTGCGGAAATTGGCTTCTTTGATCACTAATTGGGCGTCCCTGAATTTCATGAGATGATTGGTGGAATTTCAATGTTGTACACAGGCGTTGTTCAAGTTATCGTTCCTACATGCGTAAATGTGTTCATTGAGGCGTGTGTCGAGGTTTCTTGCTGTTTCACCTACATAAGTCTTGTCGCAGCCTCCACAGGGTATAGTGTAAACCCCTGCGTTGACTGGTTCGTGGTGCTTGGATTTTGTTCTGGTTAGATCCTTTATTGAAGTGGTGGAAGCGATGGCGACTCTGGTGTTAGCTTGTGAAAGTACTTTAGAAACATTCAGTGCAACCTGGCTGTTGGGAAGAATTATAACTTTATTAGGAGTGGTGTTGGTGGGTGGAGAATTAATGATCTGAAGAGCTCCTTTTTTGCAATCTTTGATGAAAAAGGAAGGAAAATGTAAATCAGTGAAGGTTGGTGAATGTATGTACATTCCTCATCAAGAAACTCAGGACTACAAATTCGGTATGCTCTCAGAGGGCTTCAGGCCCCCTCGGGTGAGGGGGGGGAGCTTTCGGCCCCTCCATACCTCCTAGTGACTGTCCCTCCGTTGTCCCTCTTTTTTTTCTTTCCTTCTTTCTTTTTTTTCTTAAAATAAGAAAGGAGATATCACAGTAGAAGCACCTTAATTATGGAGTCTTTGCTCAGTGAAACCCTTCCTCCTTCCAGATCCCTTTCTGATCCCACACCCTGTTCTGGCCTGGCTTCATTATAGGTCCATTCTCTCGACTCTTTTTCATGCCCATATACCTTCTGCCAATGATGCTTCATCACCTGCTGCAGGTGTCACACATTTCTATTCATGCTACTACTTCTAGCACGCCTTTCTCAGTGTATCTGGCTT